GTCCGGAATTGAAGAATAACTCGGCAAAAGGCAAGTGAATATTTTTTTGAGATTTATGAAAATTTTCGAGAGAGACGATGTGACTAAATATCCTCTTACAAATAATTATTTAATTTTTTGGTGTTTTTTGTTAATGAACGCTTCGTTTTCTCCGAAGAAAGCCTCTAAAGCAATAAGTTTCTTGCAACTATTATTCTACACCTCTGAAAGAATATTTGTAAGAAACTTAATTAATGTTGTTTTTGCAAATTTTCCATCGTTCATTTGTAAGCGTGTACAAATACTCAATGTGTTTGTGTAGAAGCTTTCTTCAACGCCGTCCTTACTAACTTGCTATCACATATACAGGAATAAAGGAAGTTATTTTTATCATATGTACCATTACGTATACATTATATGTATGTATATATAAACATACATAAATATACTAATACGAATACATAGAAACATTGACTCAGCTGCCTGGCACAGCACTGAGTCCAGTGGCCCACTTAGTGTGTGCGCTGACATTACCGTAGGTTCTTTACACACACATATACACGCACACGGACAGCTATTTACAACGTTGCCGCAGACGAGTGGCGGAGTGGGCGTACACGCAACGGTACAATTATGTGATAGATACAAAGCGTGACTTTCAGCAGCAGGAATTGCGTAGGGACACCATGGCAGCGGGATTTTAGGCAAAATTAGTCATGAAAATCGATAAAATTCCTTTGTTTTAAGGCTCAGGCTACGCTATGTGCAGCAAGGTAACAAATATTGCTGTTGTTTTTATTATTTTGTTATATGTAAAAATCGCATACAAAGCATTTGGCGCAGGAAATTTCCGATTACTCACCAATTATTCATGCGTGCACTCTTTCCGTTTCAACTTCAATCGCAATTCTTTCACTATTTTTCAGAAATTCAAAAATTTTGTTAAAAATTTTTTTTGTTTGTTTTGCCTTTTTCACTTTTTCGTTTTATTTGTTGCTTGTTGTTGCTCTTTTATATATATACATATGTATGTATATAAATGTTTTGCAATGCAAATCATGGGGCAAACAGCACAGCAGCACTTGGTGATTGCTTTTCCCCAATTTCCACTTGATTTTACAGCGCGAATTTTCCTTTCCGTCCGCGAGGCGTCGTTATCGTTGGCGTGCGGGACGACGTGTGAAAAATGTATACAAGAATTTCTGTGTTGCTGCTGTGCTCTTTGCTTTTGCCGTTATTTATTCACCTTTGCCGCGCGTTCCTCTGTCCAACTAGACGAAACTTTGTTTTGACTCTTTCGTGCTCTTCCTCTTTTAGCTTCGTCGTGTCTGTGGTCGTCGTCGTCGTTGTTTGTGATTTTGAAATTGGCTCAAATGGAAAACTCAAAATGCTTCGTTTGTTTATGTTATATTCAACGCTCACGTCGTTCACACGCTCGTTCATATGTACATGTGTAGTTGTTGTGCAATGTTCGGTTTCCTTTTGATTGCTCGGAAAATGTGCGCATAAATTTTGCACGACATACATGCATGTATTCAATCAGGTATTTGGCCATGTTAGGATAGGCAGCGTTTGGTAGAGCGGAAGCTTCTTTGCTCACGATAAAAAGTGGCATGCGCAATGTCAGTTTCTGTGGAGTGAAGCTTTTATTGTATGCCCTTCACAACATTGTTGTTAAATCTTAAATTTCAAATATATTATATTGTGGTAGCATCTACTATATGTATATCTGCATATAAGATCAATTACGCTGCGTAACAAAAATAATTTTTTGTTGCCTCATTTCGCATCGTCTTAAAGAAAGTCCAAATATTCGCAAAAACCAAAAGATGCATCCGCCCGTGTTCTGGAAGAGCTCTCGCGATCTGAACATCTGAAAGATTTTTCTTCTTCTTCTTTATTGGCGTAGACACCGCGGTAATAGCCGAGTTTACAACAGCGCGCCAGTTCTCCCATTTCGTTTTTTTCCCCCAATTGGAGATTTCAAGTGTAGCCAGGTCCTTCTCCACCTGAACTTTCCAACGAAGTGGAGGTCTTTCTATTCCTTTGCTTCCCCCAGCGGTAACTGCGTCGAATACTTTCAGAGGTGGAGTGTTTTTTTCTATACGCACGACATGGCTTAGTCAGCGTAACCGTATATCTCATACAGCTTTTCGTTCCATCGAATGCGATATTCGTCATGGCCCATGCGCAAAGGTTCATAAATCTTCCGCAGAGCCTTTCTCTCGAAAACTCGAAACGTCGACTCAGCAGATGTTGTCATTGTCCATGCTTCTGCACCATATAGCAGGACAGGAATAATAAGTGACTTATAGATTTTGGTCTTTGTTCGCCGAGAGAGGATTTTACTACTCAGTTACCTACGCAGTCCGAAGTAACACCTGTTGGCAAGTGCTTTTTGAGTTGGATTTCGAGGCTGACATTGTTTTTGGATCCAAGGGAGACGATATTATCTACGACTTCTAAGTTAAGACTGTCAACAGCGGGTAGGGGGGCCTCCTCTGGTAGTAGCAAAAGCTACAAAGTCACACCAAAGACTATAACCTGGTACCACGGGGAGCAGTTAGCTCTGCGTTTAAAACCTAAATTCAGGCAGGGCAGTTTGTCCAATGTGGAGTGGCATTGCGGCCGGGTGCCGGACCCAAAGTATGGCAGAGGTTTTAGATGGGCCTCGAACCCGACCGACTAGGTTGTTCTTGTTCACCCGAACTAATTGGAACCAAGATTTACCTGCAAAATGCATTTAAGCTTTGGGGCGCTGATCAACGTATTGTATTGATCTACGTGCTTCTAGCAATAGAGAGCACCGTGGGGTTAGGCCTTTGCAAGCAGGTACTCAAGTAAACCACAACAGATTCTCTGTCAACAGTGACGTGGGAGCCAAGTCACGAATGCGACGAGTGTTTGTTTGACACAGGAGATATTTCGTCTTGACCTTATTCACTACCTTACTCATGTTTGCCTGGTCTTAAATCTCGTGTGGTATCAAATGAACACACTTAAATTCCATTCGTTGGGCATGCTTTCGTCTCACCATATTCTACAAGGAAGCTGATGCATGCTGCATTGGTTCCCGTCACTTTGTTGTTCTTCAGACGGGTAATTGCTATTTTTACCTCATCACGGTCGGGCAATGGAGCAGTCTCTAGATCAATTCTTTGGATTTTAAAAGAGTATGCTCCGGTCTCGAACCCTCTGTTAATCGCCGCATCTTTTCATAGGATTTTCAAGTATTATCCCTGTCGGCCAGCTTCTCAAGCTCTTCGTACTCACACATTTCGGTTTCTCTCTTTTTTGTTCGCAAATGCGTCTTGCTTCCTTCTTCAACTCCCGGTATCCATTCCATCTCGCACGTGTCGTGGTCAAATGTTACGACTGCCCTGAAAGAGCAGGAGTGCAAGTCGAGTTGAAAATCGTTCGGCAATCTGTTGTGATTGCAGCTTCTCAACGTCCTTCCATGTGTTTGTTGAAGTGTGTTTTTTGCAACAAGGTAGTCTTCCGTCTATCACAAAATTATCGGTCTAGTTGGTGGCTTTCCTATCCGGAGATAGCCAGGTAGCTTGATGAATTTTCATATGCCGGAAACTAGTGCTCCGGATAACAATATTGCGATCATATAAGGCGTCTGTAGTCACATCACCCTTCTCTTCCGTTCTTCGCTGCGATGCGGAACGTGGCTAGACGTTCATCCACCAGGGTGAATTCCAGAACTCGGCGAAGGAGTCTCTCTGTAGTAAATGCCACAATGACCTACTCGTCTCAGTCCTTGACCCGTCCATCGAACTTTGTGGACTGCGGTTATGTCAGCCATTATTTTTATGGTTACTCCCAATTAAGGGACCGAGCATTTCCGGTGTATGCCCTTAATTCGTAATCCTTAATGAGTTTGCCATGGTCGTCATCAAAAGGGGGTTTTCTTCCGAGGCTCTGTGCCATTTTCATTGGGGGCGTTTTTTACGTGGTGGGCCTCAAACCAAGTGCACAACCGTGGAGGGGATGGTTCGTTTTCTCACTTAACTTGCCTTCATACGGACGTTCCTTAGCTATCCAGAGAATACTTGGTCTAAAACCGGAAGTCGTAAGCAGCTTGAGCCATATTTAAAATTATCGTTGCGGGTCACTTCCAAGTGAACTTTCCTCATATGACTGCATAAACTTCTACACATGACTCCATCCTCATATCCAGCATTATCTAAATAGTATTTTTTACCATTTTTAGCTCCTGGGTAATCGAGAAAATTACAGTCGAACAAGACGAAAACGATGACTAGAGCGTGGAATTGCGCATGATCGGCTGTTCATGTATCAAAATCATAAATAGTATTCACCTAAAACCCCCGTGGATCCACCACTAAATGCAACAATTTCGTAAACAAAAGTGTTATGCACTGTTTCAACATGTTACGGGAGTATGATAAGCATTGAAGAGCTATACCCTATTATGCCTATCCATATATGTAGGTATATATATTATATAAATTTTGTAAAATGATCAAATGTTAACCCCACGAATGAAGTCAAATTTTTTTTTTTTAATATTTTGCCTTTAAGCGCTCTCTGAAAAAGCTTCGCTCTAAAATTATAGTACGCATACGCACGCTCAAGAGCACATTTTGCCTATGTGTGAGTAAATATCTTTGCTTTGATTTTTCGTCGTAGCTTTGTTATCAATACGAACAGTTAAACATGTCACGCTCGCAAAAGCTCGAACTGCTGACTCCACACGAAATGTTTGAGTGAGGTAGGAAACATTCTTGCAGGACACTAGAAAAGCAACAAATGTTTTTATATTAAAATTACGGATTTATTATACAATTCCGCTGAAATATTCAAGATATCGACTGAATTTTATTTTTGTATATCTTTTTACCATAAATAATATTGAAATAATTTATGTCACATATGGTTAACATATGCATATGTATAAATCTTCATATAATATATGGTTGCTTCTGTAAAATCCATAGATTCGACATTTCCTTAGCCAAAATAACCACAAATAAAAAAACAACACATTTCTTCGAAAAAGTATATATGGAACATGTATTTTGTTTTTTATCTCCCGTTATTAAATAAATTTATATTTAATTTCCACGAATTCATTTTCCATCGTTTATATAACACCTCATCTAAACATTTTTACTTCCACTACACAGTGATCGGAGTGGTCGTCGCTATGCTAGCTGCTGCTGTTGCCGCATCCTTCTTAATAGCAATTTTTGCTACGCCACTGGCACATTCTGTTGAACCACCCATCAAAACTAAGAACATACCGTTATGTGCAACGGTTTGCCATAATTTGCCAATCCATTTGTCAAGTTTCATCACAGTTTTTTCCGCATTATCCAGTTGAAATTCCTCAACTCCTAAACGTAAGTTAGTAATCGTCAGTGAGTTTTCCAGCGCAATTTCACGTGCTTTGTTAATTGCGCTCTTATTCGTTTCCAATTCGTAAAAGGAAACACTTTTCAGTGCGTCCCTCGTGTCATTATCTTCTGTTTTTGTTAAGATTTCCTTCACTTGCCGCTGGAGCGTGCCGTTGGTGATAATCGCTGTTCTTCTATCTCGGGACGCATGTGCCAAAAGATTGTTCTTAATATTATCACCACTAGCCAAGCGCATAATGTCGTGTAAACGTTTCTTTTGTGATAGAATTTCGTCACCATACTCTAAGCTGTTTGCCAACTTCATTTTCACCAACTTTAAACTAGCTAACGAATCTTCAACGGAGTCGTGACCTATAATTAGAAGAGAAAATGTTAAGTTATCATATTTAATCAAAATTAGATAATTTGCATACCATCTGCATTTTCTTGAATTGCTTCCTTCAAAAATGTCATGGCAAGCGTTTGCAGTTTGGCCTTCCTTCTACGAACGCCACTTAAATTGAAGCACATACTCGTATCTATCACGTAAGGATGCATCATTTTCATTGCGTTCAAATCAAAGTTCAAGGACTGGCCAACCAAAATAGCATCCGCCGGTAGTAATTCCCTTACTTCCCGCTGAACATCTTCTATCGTTTTTGTTACAGTTTTCATGATGCTCGCTGTTATACCAGAATAGGGTGTCAGGTAGTCAACAATTTTATTTGTCGGCATTACAAGTGTTTCATAAACGGTTTCAAGATCTTCATTGACGATTGAAACACGCGTGAGTTCGTTGTGGCCAACGACTGTTCGACACATTTCACAATCTACGCCATACATTGGGCTGCTGTCCGTAACAGGTTCGTATTTATCCTTGGTAAATACATATTCTTTGAAACGGTTGCTAAGCTCACCACGTAATGGCATAGGATAACCCTCATCCACCATTTGTAGAGCAGAGAGCAAAAGTTTTGTGCGCGGAAATTTGTCACCTACGGGCAAATTGCTTTCCTTGGGTACTGTTGCTGCTTCACCAACTGGAAATATTGTTTTAACTAGTAACGTGGGATCTTTAGTCATTTCAACAGCCAACTCTAGTGAACCATGTTGTTCAATTAACTTATGTGCTTGTACATTCGTTAGTGGTACCTGGGCAATTTCCTCAACAATAGAGCCTTCTTTAAGTGGTGGCAAAACAACTTCTAAACGCGTCCGAAATATTTCATTTGTTTTGGTGAATTTACTTTCATTCGAGAGATAGTGATAAAGTGAAAGGCCTTCTAGTATTAAAACGACACTATGAGATAGCCGCAACGGTTTCTCTAAGAAGCACCATCTATCCGGACTGCATGGTGACTTTTTTCCGATTAGGGCTGACATTAACAAATGTTGAATGTCTGTTAGAAATATTGGCGTACGCTGTCCTTGCGGCATCTCTAGCGAGGCGCGTTGGCCGAATTCACGCAATCGTAATATAGGCACGTTTTCCAGTTCCCTTTTACGTTGTCTTAATTGGCGACGTAATTCCTTATACTGCTCTTCAGTAAGTTGTAATTTTAGACGTTGTTGTTCTTCTGTAGTTGACGACACTTGGGAAGTGTCACTGCCACTACCGTCTGTACTTTCACTTTTTGTAAGCTTAGGACGTTTTGTCTCAGGTTCATCTTCTAAAGCTATCTCAGTTTTTCCTTTTTTGTTTGGAGGCTTTGGAGGCATTAATTTGGCAGGTTTCTTTTTGTGTGTCACCTGAAAATATACATTTATTTGAAACGTTAGTTGAACATATATATATACAATTTGTAATTTTGCATAAACCTTTACAAAGCCATCGTCGTCGTCTTTTGTAATTGGAGTCTCGCCGACCTCTGAAACAACTTGGTTTGTCGCAGTGTCTCGGCGATCGTTGTCATTTAGTTGTACCAATTTAGCAAGAGCTAGCAACTTCTTTTTCTTTTTTTCTTTGCGTTCCTCCCGTTTTGATGAAAATGTCTTCATTATTGATTTTCTCTACACAATATGATATATACAAAATAAATGTGGATCAACAAATTTTTCTTTTGTTATTTTTGAAATTTCACGTGCTGAGGAACAAGAATTGACATTTCTGTCAATAAATAAATCTAGAGAGTTGCCGTTGCTGTGTAGCGATTGGAAAAAATACCGGATTGTGCTTTACCAACACTAAATGTTGTTGTTTTTGATAAATTTACTGGTGTTTACTTAAGTATTATAGTATAATTCTGCTAAAATAAGTCAAAATATAATTATTTGTATACAAAATATTTCCCAAGATACAAATAAATTACTCACTTTTCACTTGAATAAGCTTATACAACTTACCATGTTTTGAAAGTTAAGGTATAATACTTAATTACGAAGCTAATATGTAGAGTTTGCAAAGATCTATGTGAAGTTCACAAACTTGGCTGGCATTGGCAATGCTGTGTATGACATTTCAAACAACGACAAAATTACATTTTCGATCAATTGTTTATAATATTTGTGTAGCTAAAAAGAAGTATTTGTGACCAAATAAATTTATAATATTTGCTATTCGTTGAACACTTTGTGAATATAAATTACAATCGAACGAGTTGAGAAATATAAATAAAATTTCGTGTATAAATAAAATTTGTGCAAAGCAGAAAAGAAAACCACCCAGAAAATCAGTGTGTGCAATAGGGTGCAAATGAAAGCGAGTGAATAGAGAGAACAAAGAAAAACACTACAAAAACGAGAAAGTACAAAACGATAAGCTGCGTTTTACACTTTGTAGTGTAGTGTTTGGGAAAAAATAAAACGTGAATATTACTCGGCAACAATTTACATGTATTAAAATATTGAAACTATTTTAATTTTACCGTTTCATACGTTTACAACTGAAATACACCATCAAGAGTAGCATTACAAAGTTAAGGTCGTCGTGCCCAAAAGTTTTGTTGCTGTTTCGTGCCAGCGCCCATCAGCATTCACTAAGTAGTCGTCAAATAAGACCCTGCTCACATATTATCATATACATATATTTGGTAGTTGTGGAAAGGTGCTTGTCTGCAATCATGGCCAATACTTTGGAGGAACAACAAAGTCTGCGTGAATGCGAAAACTACATTCAGGCGCATGGTATTCAACGTGTACTCAAGGATTGCATTGTACAGCTTTGTGTTAGTCGCCCGGAAAACCCCATTCAGTTCCTGCGTCAATATTTCCAGAAATTAGAAAAGGTAATTCATACCCGAAACATACTCGATTTTTTATTTTTGATGAAAATATGAAAAAAAAAAATACAAAATGTACTGGGTTATGGTGGTGGTGATGAGATGTGTAGGTGTCGACTGAATCATGAAAGCTAAGCAGTAATTGTGCGCACTTATCATTAATTTCAATAAAACATTATACATATATAAACAAGTGGGTTGGCGTTCATGTACTATATATGCATATGTAGACATGGGTGAATAAGTGTTTATAAATCTAAGTATACTTTTTATAATTAATCTTGATTATAATTTATATTCGATTTTTGCTTTTTTTTAATATTTTTTTCTTAATTAAAGTGTTTTCCGCAAGGTATATTTATCGTTTTCTTAATATTTTTAAACTTTTACTTAAATTACCTGCACTTGAAAGAGAGTTCAATGTAAGTAACCATGGTGTTGGTTTTAGTCATTTGAAAAATTATATAATATTTGTGAAATCAGAAATAATGGTGCTTGAAATCCGTTTCACCAAAACACGTTTCATATTCAGCAGCAGCAGTTCGGCGTTCGATAGATTAATATATATTTATGTATTTCTATAGCTAGGTACTTCTAATAATAATATATGTACATAATACCAAGACTATTACTATTTTAACCTTGACTGATCTCAATATCAGATTGTTTAATCGCAATGTATACTTATGAAACCAAGCCAAAGCACTAGCGTTAAAATACACCTATTGGGCAAATTTACATTAAAGGAAATATTAATTTTGTTGTTTTGTATGTTTCACTAAGCTTAATTCTGAATATCAAGCATTCAAAAAAAAATAAAAAAGATATTCAAAAGGAAGGTGCGCAGCTTGAAATCAAACGTTCCACCTACGTACATCGAATGTGTTTTGAATGAACATTGTTCATTTTTACTCTGGTTTATTCCCAAAAATGATGATATCGAAACAAGAAAAAACGTTAAGTGCGATTGCACCGAAACTATAGTATACTTCACAAATACAAAATAATCCACACAAAAACTAGATTTGGATCGTTCAGTTCTGTTGCAATAGTGGTACATTCTAAAAAATATTTTTGGAAATTTATTTTAATTATAGCCTTTCATGAGTTTAATGAAGATATCTTGTGAAATAAAAAAAGTTTTCCCCACAAGGACCTAGACGTAAGGTCGCGGTGCAACCCTCATTTAATAATGTAATCTAAGGGTTCGATTTTGATCGATTGTTTTGGAGAACAGCTTTGTATATACATACACACATATACGCAACAGTGCTCCGATCTGAATAATTCCCTGAGAGATTGTACCAGTATACATGCAGACTAAGCTCGTCGTGCTGATCCTTTATATATATGTATATATTAAAAAGAACTCGAACATTTTTATTAGCAATTTTTGCAAATATTTTTATTTTGGTAATTTTACACATAATTTACAAACGAACATATTTAATTTGTTGAGACATTCATGCACAGAGAAATCTTTAAAAATAATTGACCAATTTGATTTGCATATTTTTTTTCGACTTTTTTGCCATTAATCAGGCAAAGCCACATTTGCTTGGCCTTTTCTTAACACGCTTTTGTTTCTTTGCTCCTTTACAGTTAGATTTCGAAATTTTAAGCTTGCGTTTCTGAAGTCGTTTTTTATGTTGTCCACATTTTGCTTTCTTGACTTTTTTAGGGCGCTTCGTACTTTTCCTTTTAGTTTTACCTGCACACGCATTTTTTGCGGTTTTCCTTTTGGAGGCAGATTTTGGCTTCTTTTTATGAAAACTACCTTTTGAAGAACAAGATCGAATCGATTTTCTCTTTTTCGTTTTGGGCGCACATGAGCTCAGATTTGGTGCCTGTTGTGCGCCGCTGCAACACTTGCGCTTAGGCGCATAAAATGCCTTAAAAAAATATATATAAATGTATATTACATACATATATATAATTCGTTAAAAAACAAACCTCTTCAATATATCTCAATCTCTTTTCCTTTGGTACCGCTCGCCAAGCCTGAGCACCTCTTTTGATAATTTCAACAGCTGTAAGGCCGCAATTTTGCTTTCGAAATTCGCGCAGAAAATTTAAATAGGGATTGCGCATTAATGGCCCTGGACGATGGCATTTGCCTTTTCCTTTAGATTTATCTGTGTGTTTGTTTTTCATTTTGCACAGACTCTTCGAAAAAGTAAATGCTAACGATTCTATGCTTTTAGGATCCATTTACTTTATTTATATATGATTATTATTTTATAAACTTATTTGCTTAAAAATTTATTTGCACTAGAATTTAAAATTATTCTATACGAAAAATTTTCTTAATAACGAATTTCAGTGCTCCGCAGTAAAATATATACTAATTGATAAAGTCAAAGGATACTAATATTAATTTATAATTACTATAGTCGATTAATTTATTAATTGTATCCTGCAAGTATTATATCTTTCACAGTGCGCAACTAATAATCTTTTGTAATTTTAGGAATGAGATAACTTTTCTTAAGAATTTTTTTGGGAAGGACCATAGTCTGTTTTTATACATGGGCGGTCCCCCTACAAGGCCTTTAAAAGAGATATGATCGTAGTCAGTGATCAAAATCGAATTGAATTTGGAAACGTATTAAAACAATCTGCATTGTCTATGAAAACAATTGGATGACCTATCGCCTTTAATAAACTAAAGATAGCTTCTATAGCACCACTACTAGGGTGGCTGGCTGAAGTCAGTAAATACATAGATCATAAATAAGTAAATATGTAAATGTTCTTTAAATAGAAATTCCGTGATGACTCTGTACGAATCTCGATTAAATATTGTAAATATTGACAAAAGTAGCATAATTCTTCCTGACCATTGAAAATATTGTTTACCACATTGATCTACTATTATAATGTATTTCTCTCTTTATATTGTTGTTGTAGTGGCAGAAAAGGCATGATGCCAGTTACCAGTCCTTGGCCGCATAATAATTCGAGTCCGTTCCGGAACCGGAAACTTAAGTTGTCGAAGGGGGCATTCTTCTAGATCATTCGCTACCAAAAATTAAAAGCAGCTAACGGAACGGACCCGGATTTTTATCAAACTATGAATTGATAAATTTAATACGAACATTGTACAGAGTCCAGTATGTGGCTCCTAAAAAATTCGACATCATCGACAATCACTTAATGTTAATTCTAAAAGCAGGCTGCTACTCTTCTGCATAGTTTTATCCAAAACGAAGAAGCGCAATAGTCACACGATTCGATTGCAAGGACGCCAATCACTACCGTTCCCACGACAGTCGGGTCTACGTAACCGGGACGGACCTGGATTTTTATCCTGCCAAGGAATGTCGACTGGGCAGAACTCAACAAAAACAACGCCAATCAATAAGAGGTAATCAGTGAAGTTGTTAATACGTCCACTTTAAATGGCGTCCAGTACTTCTTTGAAGTTTTTCGTATCCGAAATTACACCGGTATACTACTGAAATACAATGTAATTGATTACTTTGAGGGGGACAACATATATTTTGAAGAATGATTTATGAACAAAGTCATACTATTTCTTGCTCATAGTAGTAGTAATGATGTCACCAAATTTCATCCATATATCTCATTGTCATTTCAAGCCATCGTAAATATTGTGAGGGATATGATATTTAGAGCAAAGTCTAGATCGGTTTTATTCATAGTCAGCGTTAAATAACATGCTTATACAATTTCATTAAAGGTCTACGGTCTGACTGTATTTAGTTTTACCATAATCAAGTATAATATTACCGGAAAATGCTGCTCTCTGAATAACTTATATATTGAGCGATATTCATATATAGTATAGATAGATAGATAGATAATAACAGGGACTCGCTTATATAGTATAACGTCGGGGAGATCTTGACAGGTTTTTATCCATTATCATAAAAAATTCTCTCCGAATTTCAGTAATATAACTATTAATGTAGTTGTTGTTATAAGTAGAAAACATTCCTGAAATATTCGAGAAATGGTGGCGAGTGGACAGTCCTTGGCCGGATAATAATCCGGGTTTGTTCCCATTTGTAAGACCCGACTGTCGTGGGAACGGCTCACAGAGTGATTTATATATTAAAAAGTCAACCATTGGCACTGACATCACATATTCGGTAATATGGGGACTTTTAACGTTATGGTCGATTTCCCCCATTTTCACATTGTATTTATAGGTTTTTGATTAAGGGATTTCTTTCGGCGTGGCAATAGTCTGATTTCGCTTAACTGTAATACCAACCTTCCTATAATGGCAAAGGACAGGGTTACAAGTTCAATTTTTACCCAGAATTCAACTCTTTTCGTCATCATGATCATTCACATATATTCACTGACAGTAACATTAATCAGATTTCTTATATATACATATGTATACAAATATCCTCGCGGTGTTTGCATACACTCAGCACTCGTTGCATAAACTAACCACTCCATACATATCTCTATTAGTTTTAAGTGTTCTACCAAGTTGCGACAGTAGAAAAGTCTTATTTCAAAGTTCTCAGTTATTATCATTAGTGTTTATAAATATTAACGGCTAGAATATTTTTAGACTTCCCAGTTCTATCAAAAATTTGTTTAACCGAAATGTGGAACCAGCTCTTAGATATGGTTACGATTGAAGTTGGTAATCTGAACAAGCTTCTTACCAAAAATCATCGTACATACTGCATCGAACACTGCTGTTGCTTCTCCGCCTACAGCTTCGTGATCTAGTCTAAGCTAATTATTTTCCACAGAGAACACTTGGATTAAAAATACGCAAAATTTTTCCATTTATTGACACATATTTTATGCCAGACTTACAAACAACTACTAAACACGCATACACCATAAACACGAATTGAGAATTTTTTTTTTAATTTAATATCGAGATTCACTTTCTTGATCCTAATCCGGCGCCGACTATATTCTGCAGCTTTTTCTCTTCCTGCGTTTGCAGCCACGGCGCTTTGGACGCCGCTTCTTGGCGCAACGCCTCCTCTTAGGTCTGCGTCTGCGGGCACATCTCGCCTTTCTTCTGCGACGTTTTTTCGCACAAGGATTGGGGCATACTATGCCACAACTGTCCTGGAATGGCGTCCCGCGCATCTGTGTCGGCTGCGCGGGTATCGGTGCCGGTGGTGGTGGTGGTGGCTTCCTTTTTTTCGGTGCATAAAATGCCTGTGGTAAATTAATTAAACTGAACATAATGTTGGATCAGACAAAATTCACACTAACCTCTTCTATAAACTGCAGTTTGTCCTCCTTTGGCATACTTCTCCATTCTCTGGCACCGCGACGTATAATCTCTACCGCCGATAGCCCGCTATTGCGCAAACGGAATTCTCGTAAAAAGTTCAAATAGGGATTACGATGAAGTGTCCCGCATGGCCGGTGGCATTTTCCAGATTTCGTTTTTAAAAAAGCTGTTTTAGACGGCGGTTTAGGCGTCGATAATGTTTTTTGTATTTCCATTTAAAATTTTTTTATAAAAAAATATAGATTTATAATTAAATTTTTTTACACAGTAATTTGTAACGCGTGTGAAAAACGAATGAAATGGATATGTAATATCAAGAAAAAATCTTGAAAATTTTTTCAAATTCATTGTGGTAAATTATTTCCCAATTATATGAGTGCTAAACATGTAAAGTGTAATGATACCGTATAATAGGTCAATAGATAGCGCCACCTTAATTCATATGAGTTTTAGTTACCCGGATCATTAGTTTGTGAATTATATCACTTTAAATGAAGCAACTTTTGTTATTGTGAAAAAAACTGGTTACAAAAGAAATTCGGGAGCTGATAAAATATTGCTGTTTAAGAGAAAGAATACGGTCCAAGTTTTAGGGAAATAAAAGTGTACATCATATCAATCGTAAATATAATATTTGGGTATGAGAAAGCGCTGTGCAAAGTGGGTGACTTGACGTGAGTTCACTTTTGGCCAAAAACAACGAAGAGTTCATGATTCGGAGTAGTGTTTTGAGATGCTCAAGCCTAATAAGTCAGAGTTCTTGGGTCGATATGTGGCAATGGATGAAACATGGCTCCATCATTTCACTTCGAAGTCAAATCGACAGTCATTTAAATGAACTGCACGCTCCAAAGCGTGAAAAAACACATCAGACGCTTAGTAAGGTTATGAAAGCGGCTGTTTGGGATGCGCATATGATACTTTTTATTCACTATCTTGAAAAAGAAAGGACCATAAATAGCGAATATTACCGAGCATTATTGACCATTTCACCAAGACCACCAGTGTTCCACCCTTTCTCCAGATCTGGCCCCTCAGCGACTATTTCCTATTCGCAAATCTCAGAAGAATGATCGCTGGGAAAAAATTTTCGTTGAATGAAGAGGTGATAGCCGAGACTGAGGCTTATTTTGAAGTAAAGCACAAACCGTATTATAAAAACGGTTTCGAAAAATTGGAGGGCCGCTATAATCAGTGTAACACCCTTGAAGGGAAGACATATTACTTGTGAGTTCACGAATAATTTCACTCGAACTGCTGGAGACGCTTGTCCGATGTGATATGATTGCGACGCTTTGCTTTGCTGTTTGGGTCAGAAGGTTTTAGCTACTTCACAAGTGCTGGTTGCTGACCAAAGGTTGTTGGAGCTCGAGCGAAACTCATAGATCTCGCGGCCGAATGCACAAAGGCAGGAAAATCTCTACTCCTTCCCAACCTGCTGTATTTAGGGTATGGGTGAGTTTTTCGGTATGCTCATCGGCATTACAATTTCCGCCGATTCCGCTGTGCCTTGTTCTAGACAACTTTAATATGCAAGTAACTTGATGTTATTGCTAGTGAGATCACGCACTCCTTGACTAGCTTTCAGCTCACTATTAGAGAGTTCAATGGCCGTATAGCAGCTCTGCTATTTGGTTGGATGTATACTGCTTTCAAAAACGTCGCGCTTCGGTGAAGTACTTCTGCTGTTACCTTTATGGCTGCCACTTCTGCTTGAGAGACATTACAGTCCCCCCTCCAACGTTAAGAGTAGCAATTTTCCTCAACTTCACCTGTTGTTCCGTGACTAGAGATATATTATACCTGCTGCTCTCGTCTAACGTTTATATATCAAGAATGCAGCATGAGATCCGCAACTTAAGTTTTAATAATTAAAAAATACTGATAATTTTCCCAATATTGTCTCTTAAAGGTGACCTGTTAGAAATCCCGCTGAATTGTTATCTCTTTTTAAGGAATTTTTGGCTGCGTTTAGTTTTTCGTGGCCTTCACATTATATTAGATTTGAAGAAGCAGGCTTGCGAAAATGAGATTATTTGTAAAATTGCTGCCGCTTGTCCCTAAATGCGCTGAACTATGTCAATGGCGTCGTATATCTCTTACAGCTGTATATCTCTTACAGCTCTACATTCCATCGATACTCGCCGTTGCCAATGCGCAAAGGCCTTAAATTTTCCGCAGAACCTTTCTCTTGGAAACTCGTAACGTCTACTGAAGAGATATTGTCATCCTCCATGCCTCTGCACCATATAGCAGGACGGGAATAATGAGCTACTTATAGAGTTTGGTCTTTGTTCGTCGTGAGAGGAGTTTACTTCTCAATTTTCTACTTAGACCGAAGTCCTGCTAGCAAGAGTTATTCTGCGTTGGATTTTGAAGCTGACATTGTTGTTAGTGACTGGTTCCAAGATAGACGAAATTATCTACGACTTCGAAGTTCTGACTGACAACAGTGACATGGGAGCCTAGTCGCGAGTGCGACGACTGTTTGTTTGATAACAAGCGATATTTCGTCTGGCCCTCGTTCAAAACCAGACCCATATGCTTCGCTTCCTTAGCCAGTTTGGAGAAAGCGAAACTTACAGCGCGGATGTTGAGGCCAATGATATCGATGTCATCGGCCTACGATATCAGCTGTACACTTTTATAAAATATTATACCATCTCTATTGAGCCCTGCAACTCGAATTATTTTCTTCAGCTGTAGATTGAAGCAGTCACAAGATAGGAAGTCACCTTGTCTGAAACCTCGTTTGGTATCGAACGGCTCGCAGAGGTCTGTCCCCATCCTGACGGAGCTTTTGGTATTGCTTAACGTCAGTTTACACAGCCGTATTAGTTTTGCAGGGATACCAAATTCGGACATAGCGGTATAAGGGAGCCCTTTGTTTGACAAGGTATCTTTATGAAATTTTTCACGGTTTATTATCCAAGGCAACAACATAGTCTCCGAAGATATTGTTCATATCGGACAGAAATAGCATATATGTAGCTCCCACACAAACTGATCGCCCAAAGTCAAGTTCTTATAATAAAACTTGAGTCAACGTTTTGTCATGTTCTGCATTATCTTCACCGCAAATAGTGCAACATGAAAAGTGTATTTAGTATCTGTCGCATATAAAACTTCTGTACACATTTTTCACCAGTAGCTCAACTTTTTCGCCGCCACTGTACTCTTAACTGTTTCACACTTGATTAATTTTTAAACGCCACAAATTCTATCCATTAATACCGTTATTAAAAAATGACGAAACCCCTAAAAATATCCTGTCACTCATACAACTCATATTCGCTTATTGTATGTCTATTTATTTTTATTTACCGTGGCATTACTTTGTTGTTGGAGTAAAAACCACCTGTTAAAATCGTACATCCATGCAGCTGGACAACGCGCAACAGGACTCCACCCCAGCGTATCAATATACGTGTATGTAACCTTATCCTTGCACTGGATCTTTGTTGTTGTTTACATATACATACATACGTGCCCGTTTAGTGCAAAATACAAGGCACACCATTGTGTTGGGCCTGTCTCTTATACACATCTGTATGTAACCTTATCCTTGCACTGGATCTTTGTTGTTGTTTACATATACATACATACGTGCCCGTTTAGTGCAAAATACAAGGCACACCATTGTGTTGGGCTGTAATTAAGTTAAAAGTTGACGCTTTGACTGCTAATATTGCTCTAGTCATTATAAATTGTAAAATATGTAGCAGGCTGACAGCGGATGCTGTTGTGAGAAATCTGCATATTTCAGTCTGACCCGGATCCTTGAGGCGTGCGGTACTAGCTGCACTGGCAACCCACATACATAGCACACCACACAGTTTACGGTCTCGCGAGCATTGACTCTCTATCGCAATTGTCGGATTGGCGCCTTCCTAGTGTTGGCTATCAATAGCTTCCTTATTTACATGCATATGTATGTGTGAAAGCCGCGAAATACACACATACGCAATTCAATTTTATTTGAGTGCGAATACATATACATATTTATTTTATTGGTGTTTTTGTATTTACAATTGCCATGGGCAATACGTTGGGAGTCAATCAAATACAAGGGACGGTGATCGATCGCTTTAAATCGGTGTGTTTAACCACAGACGAGCATGGGGCCGTTCGCATCCGGTCTTTTTCCGATGGCGGCCATTTAACATCTCGCGTGGCGGCAGAGGCGATTCGCGACGAGCACAGACTTAGTTTGGATGTTATACATCGGGTGCGGCATGTGCGCACCTCCTGCACGACAATACCCGAGGAAGATATCGTAAGTGCACAGGTGAGGGCGGACATTTCTGTACATTAATGTGCATTCATTTGAAGTTTTATTGTTATTTTATATTTTATAGCCGCGTTACGTTACGTTTGTAACGTAATACATACATATAAATTGTATTTTTGTTAGACATGTGCAAGAAGAAATACTTCAGGTTATGGCCAAAATTTTTGCTTTATTTTAAAGATAAGAGTTTGCCGTTATGTTTTAAAAATTATTTGTGAAAAGCGACCGCTGCGGCTTGCTCGAATAAATTCCGTCCGAGAAGATAAATTTTTGAGTACTTTTTGCAGCAATTATGTCAGTAATAACGCGCCGAAGATGGCATCTTCCAATTTATCAGTCGTCTCGAAAAAATAGTCGTCCCCATAAAATAATCTAGTGTTATTAATTATATGGAGGATGAACCACAGACCAACGTCACGAGATAATGTACCTAAAATTTTCCTTAATGTTTCGCTGGCTGAATGGCATGTTGCGTCGTCTTGTTGGAACCAAAGCTCTTCAAAATCAACATCATTTAAATTCAGACACGAAAAAATTATTAGTCATGGCTTTATAGCGTTCTCCACTGACTATAATATTTTGATCGTTTTCTTATTTGAAGCAAAATTAACCAATGATTTCTTCTGTCCATAAGGTAACAGTGGCTTGTGGATCCTTGGGGGATTATTAATATTTCACATGCGACAATTTCGTTTATTTACGTACCCATTCAACCAAAAGTGAGTTCACGATTGTACATTATGGAATGGCAAACCAGACTTCGTATTCTTTATTGGCATAGACAACGCATACGCGATTATAGCCGAGTTATCCTTTCATTATGGGTGGTTTTTTACGTGTCGGGTTCCAAGCCCAGCGCACAACCGTGGGCCTTCAAACTTATATTTTTCGGCTACCCAGAGAATACTTGGTCTAAGACCGGAAGTCGTGAGCTGCTTGAGCCATATTTAAAAGAATCGTTTCTAGCCACTCCCAAATGATGACACTCAGAGAACTTTTGTC